AACGAGAGTCGAAGGAAGAAATATCTTTACCCTCTATTATAACTTTTCCTTTGAGAAACAAGAACATACAAAAATCTAGATAATACGAAACTAATGCTATTACTTTACGGGATTCGCAATTAATTTGGTGACGAGAAAAAGAAATAAGTTTCATTTTTAATTTTAATACGCGAATAAACGAGTATGCAATTAACTATGGCGGCATAGAGGAGTAAAAAAAAATAAGAAATTTAGCAATTCACAAATGAATCGAATTTTGTTTCTTTACATTTAAAGAAGAATAGATCTATTTGATTTAGAACTATCATGCTAATGATTTAAAAAATGTTTCATTTATTATTGCAGTTACTTTAAAAACATTCCGTAATATTGTGTAAAGAGACTGCGTACACGAGCATACTTAATATATGTATATATGTACATCCAAAATCATGAAAGAAAAACAAATGATTGACAGTTTTGTTCTATGCAAATGTCAAAGATATCTCATCTCTCTCTTTCTCTCTCTCTTTCTCTCTCTCTTTCTCTCTCTCTTTCTCTCTCTCTCTCTCTCTCTCTCTCTCTCTCTCTCTCTCTCTCTCTCTCTCTCTCTCTCTCTCTNTCTCTCTCTCTCTCTCTCTCTCTCTCTCTCTCTCTCTCTCTCTCTCTCTCTCTCTCTCTCTCTCTCTCTCTCTCTCTCTCTCTCTTTCTCTTTCTTTAGATATATTCTTTTAACCTTTGGCGCAAGTATTATCGTATGAAACGACCCATATATGGGTCGACAAAGCTTTTGTCCAAACAACCCTTATATGGGTCACCAATCACAAAAAGGTTAAACCTTTATTCACACAATTTCATTCCTATCTCTGACTAATACGAATTACTGAAGACAATTTCTTTCCTTCGAGACTTTATTCAATAATCGATCAAAAGATTCTCCCTCGCCTTTTATTCCTTGTGCGTCGGAATTATTATTTGCGATCGCTCTTCCAAACGTAAACGTGATATAAATGATGTTTCTATATATATATCCTATAAATACTTTTATGCTCTATCTAAGCACACGATTGTTAAATCATAGTAATGACGAAGAAAAAGAAAAATCAATTTTTCTCGATTTCCGCGAATTTATGACGTCCTAGGATTTGTTTATCTATTAAGACGTGTTGGAAACATAAACTCTCGTATATAGTTTATTTCCTTTTCCCAAAACGGCATTTAGTTTGCCGATAAAGATATTAAGAGCTAATCGAACCTCTATCGGAGATCTATCACAAAAATAGCACTCATTGAAAGCACGATATTGCTCGTTATCGCGATCTAATTTTGTTCTCTCCAAATCGATCATTAAACTTCGATATAAGTATAATAGTGAAAGAAAAATATAGAAAATAAAAGGAGAAAAGTAAAAGAGTTATGAGAGACAAAAATAGATCGCATTTATAGATCCAACGTCGTGCAGTTTGTACTACGAAAGCGTGTTAATTACTCACGTAGAGATCAATTTTATCTCTTCAACGTTTCAAAGAGAAAAGTGTGGAACAACAACAATGACAGTAAATTAAGAAAGATATAGTATGTGGCAAAACAAATACTATTAAATGCATAAAGGTGCATAAGATTGTTTTTTCTCTCCGAGGAAAAAAAAGGGTTGTGTCGGTATTGTATCGTACACTTAATACTGTTTGTTTTGTTGCATACTGTATATTAACGCGCGTATATATATATATATATATAAATGCAAAAAGAAAGAAGACAATTAATTGGCATGAACAAATTAAGCAATCTATCATCTTGCGAGTATATTGATTGTACTATCATCAAATATTTTCGATATCATGGAATGATCTTCTGCTCGTTTTAAGCTTGTTCGCCTTTTTCTTCTTCTTCTTCTTCTTCTTCTCTTCCTCTTCTAATTCCATTTCTTCTTCTAATAAAAAAAAAACAAGAATTATCTATTTCATTTATTCCATATAACGAGCTTTATAACATATTATATTATGATCGTTCGTTGAAAGAAAGACATTGCATTTCGAAGCGATTTATTTACTTCTTTCCAATAATAATTAATGCATAATCAATGGAATTAATTCTAATAATAAAAATTATTCTTCGAACAATAAGAAAGTTATATGGGAGAACAAAAAAAGAAAAGAAAAGAATATAAGTTTATCTTCGGATTTGAAATTATTTTAAACGATCGCTAAAATAAATAGAAATATTATTGGTAAAAGAGAAATCTCGTTTATATTTAACAATAAGTATTGCATCGATTAAGCTGCATTTTGTCATTGACTTGCTTTCTACTTTTATTCCTTTTCTTCGTTGTTTCAATCTATTTTGATTTACTTGCCAACGTTGTGTTTCGTTATTTAAATATACATTCTCAAACAGAGCTCGTAATACAACGACCCCTGTTATATAGGTCGGCGGGACCTTTGCATGGACGATGATTTGTTCATCTAATTATCTACCTTCCTCTTTGGTAAATAACATGCTTTCGAAGTAACAACGTCAAATTAAACGCACATAGTTTATATAAGCTCATTCGTATCTTATAACTCGTTAAAACTTATTCAATAAATTCTCCTATCGCTATATTAAATCGAACGTGCATGAATTAGCGTCATCAATATTTTGTCTATAGGTGAATACGATCAGTCAAAGAGAAAAGAGTTTGACGTTTATCAATTTTTCAATATGCTACCTTGATGATAATGATCTCCCTACGATTAGAATACTAGAAATATTTTCAAGAATTGCTATTAACTTGGACCCACCTTTGATTTTCTTTAAAAAAAAGAAAAACACGTCCCTTTAAAATTGTCAATATGCATAGCGATATATATGAATAAGTATAACTACGAGGTTTTCTTCTTCTTTCGTCTAAAATTCTCACGTTTCTTATGAAAATAGCCCTTTCGTACGGCATACTGTTAGACATGACAATTGTTCCGTATAAATTCGCTTGTACATACTTATACGATCCCGTATATGGGTTGGTGTAATGTAATGTTGGTTGTTTCATCGACGATCCTTATACGGGTTGCTAGTAACAAAAGGGTTATACGTTATCACGCTTAATTTATTTATGCATGATTACTATAAATACGATTATCTTTTACTGTTGTTAACTTCAACGATATAACTTAAAAAAAATGTTCTACCCCATCTCTGTACCTAATACATATGTATTATAGTAAGGTTTACAATTTATTCCTTACACGGTTATTTGATGCGTATGCATTTACGTATAATATGTAAAAATGGAACCGGCTCGCAATGTCCCTTTTTTCTTCTTGATAACGATCAGAAAAAAAACTTTGATCGTTGTGATTCGTGTTTCATAGACTTTTACTCTTCTTCTAATCCACCTTGTATTTCGTCCTCTTTATCTCTTACGTCTTTAAAATAAATCAATAATTAATAGTTATATACATATAAATAAAAAGAAGTTGCGGTGCTAACTATAAAAAGAAAATAGAGTATGCCATTATATACGACTAAAAAAGGATAGTAAAGTAAGAAAGGAAGGGAGAAATATTTATGTTAAACTTTCGCATAGTAGCATAAGCTCGCGTCGTCTTGTACATAAAACGTCGGGGTTGAAAAGTTTTCACCCTCGATAAATAACTTTTATTTTATCTTATATAAAAGAGAGATAGATCAAAGAACAAAATTGTTTCTATGTTAGGGAAAATCGAAAGATCTCTAAAACCCACGCAGGTATAGAATATTTATCACGCAAATATTCTTTTCAAAAGGAAATAAGATTTTCCTTTTCCTTTTTTTCTTCTTCATTTTCCAATATAATGTCGTTCGTCTCATTTTTTAACGAAACGCAAACGTGAGCCTAAATTTATGCGAAAGTTCTATACATCGACTGAGTTGTTACGTGTACAAATGTTAATCATCTAAACGATCCCCATTTTGTTTATCTTCAACGTTCGTCTTCCGTGACGTTCTGTTGTTAATTTAATTTTATTTTATTTTTATTCATTTATTTTATTTTTTTTTGTCTTTTTAAAGAGTGAACGAATAAGTAGCAACGTAGCACGTATGGCAGAAATAAAAGCAAACGAAAGTGCAAAAATCAAAGCACAATCTATTTTTCATTGAGTTTTTCTTTCGTGATAAGCAAAGACGTTTGTTAAAATGATGATGTTAAACCTTTCGTTACGAAATGTAATGGCGCGAGTAGGATCCCTACATGGGTCGGGGTGGGACTTTTGCATGAACGACCCAAATAGAGGTCACTCATTTGTACGGGCCTTTGCATGAACAACGACCCGCATATGAATCACTGGAACGAAAGGATTAATATTTATATATTTATATGTACATATAAATATAATTATCAGGCGTTAAACGAGAAAAAAGAGAAGATAAGAAAAAATCTTCATTAATTTGCTTTGCGTCTTATTCATATTTATCATAAGTAATAGTTTTAATCGATAGTTGTTTACTGAACTAAAAATTTACTTGTGTATTAATGAAATATGATTAAAATGTTGATATTACATTTGTTCAAATGTGAACAACGTTATAATAAATGCATTATTTTATTCCTACATTCCTTGTTACCTAAAGACTAATTTTTTTACCTTTTGCAAAACATGTTGCATTATTATATTTAAACTTTAGAAATCATTAATCAGTTCGATAATTCTTATGACAAGTTCTACGAATAAAAAAAAAAAAGAAGTATAATTTTACTATTATTTCATCCTTGTGTAACATAAATTTAATTCATGCTATGCTAAAAGTAATAATTTCATTAATGAAATATTAACAGCACAAAAAAGTAGGTATAAAATCGCAACAGCAGAAAAAAATGAATAGGTGCTGTTAATTGCTCACTAATGGGACCACCATTGGACGATAGTAGGTACAATACTATCAAAGTTTTGTGCTGATATTAACAGAGTTTGAGAACATTTTTACTTATCGTTGATAAACAAGAAATTTACCTACCTACAGTAATAATGCATATGTATTAATTTAAAAATGGCATTTTAGATGGCGTTTTTAGATTTTAGAACATGACAATTCAAAGTATCGTGACTTGTATTAAAAATGGCTCTTTCTGATAATAACGCTTGGTCTGCTCCTGCACCTTTTTGGCAAAATGGTCCTTCACCAGGCTGTTTTTATAATTTTCCTGGGAACATCAATCAATCTGTCGATCAAGGAATACGTCAAAGATCACAGTAAGTTTAATTTCGTTATGAAAATGTTGACTATAGAGGATATAACCTGCAAATCACATTAGATTATTATTTAGAATTTATTTGTTTTATACATTTAAAAAATGCAGTTTTAACTCTAATAGTAAAGAATCTCAATTGTAATATAGCATGATCTTTATATCAAAAGTGAATTTTAACCTAAGAGTATAACAGTTTGTACTATACTTAATGTATTTTTGCAGAGCACCTATGACAACCGGTACATCAATTGTTGGTGTACAATTTAAAGATGGAGTTATGATTGCTGCTGATACCCTAGCATCATATGGTTCATTGGCTAGATATAGAAATTGTGAGCGTATCATGAAAGTCAACAATAATATTCTTCTTGGTGCCAGTGGTGATTATGGCGATTATCAGTGCATTAAAAGTAACGTAGAAAAGAAAATGTAAGTTATGCAATTACTAAGAATAGAATAGAATAAGAATAAAATATAATTATTTGTTTATATTGTTTTCAGTCTAGAAGAACAATGCTTAGATGATGGATTTACTCTAAAACCAAAAGCACTTTATTGTTGGTTAACTCGTGTGATGTATAACAGACGATCAAGCTTCGATCCATTTTGGAATAATTTTGTAATCGCAGGCTTAGATGATGGCAAACCGTAGATATTTCTTGTTCATTTATAAATCTATATATGATATGAATAAATAAACTATGTATTAATTTGTATATGTTTTATCAGATTCTTAGGAACAGTAGATAAGCTTGGAACAGCTTATATTGACCCAGTGATTTCAACTGGTTATGGTGCCTATATAGCAACGCCATTGTTGCGAAAAGCATATGAAGAAAATAGTGAAATGACTAAGGAAGAAGCGAAAGAACTTCTTTACAAAGCAATGCAAGTTCTTTTTTACAGAGACGCTCGTTCTTTCCCTAAGGTAATTTATGTAAAAGATTAACAAATTAAGATTATATTAAAAAATTATAATTTATTAAGATATATTCTATCTTTTTTTTCTTCTAGTATCACCTTGGTATAATCACTAAAGATGAAGGTGTAGAAATTCAAGGTCCAATAACATTAGACAGTAACTGGGAAGCTGCTATTCTAACTAAATAAACGTACTCTTTCATTTAAAATATTTACAATTAATTTTATTAAATAAAATTTAATTATTTCATTAAAGAAAATAAATTCTAAACTGCACAGCTTGTTCAGAAGTTTATAAAGTTTAACTTTCTATCATCTTTATAAATATTAACAGCGACTACTTTGTCATTATTTCATAACCAGTGTCAGTTATCAAAATAGTATGTTCCGATTGTGCGGTTCTAGCATCATCTGTTGTTACAGCTGTCCAACCATCCTCTAAAATTTCAATCTCCTGTCCACCTTGAGTAAGAATCGGCTCTACAGTAAATGTCATACCTGGATGCATTCTTTCGGCAGATTCGTGTGCTAAATGCAATAAAAAAATATGTCATTCCAATTTCTATGTACACACGCATTTATTTATTTGTATGAATATACCGTAATGTAAGATGTCCGGTGGTCCATGAAAATAAGTTCCTATGCCATGTCCAACAAACGCTGGAATTACATTATATCCGTGCTTATTTGCTATTTTTTCCACAATATTACCTACAATATTTCATTACAACATTTTAATATATAACTATATATATATACTGTATAGTATCTATATTATATATATAACTATATATATAGTACTGTATATATATATATATACAAATAATTTTACCACTTACCTATACTAGAAAATTTTTCATTCGGTTTACAGATTAGTATTCCACTCTGCAGACAAAGTTCAGTTACTTGTATCAATCTTTTACCCTCTGGATCACTTTCACCTACTTCAAATGTTTTAGAACAATCTCCGTGATAGCCATTTAGATAGACCTACGTTTATTCATAAGATTTAATAGTTCAATATAATAATGAGTAGCATAATGCAATGATCAAATTAAAAAAGTTATATGTACGGTCACGTCTACATTAATTATGTCTCCATGTTTTAACGGACGATTATCTGGAATACCATGACACGCAACATTATTAACACTAGTGCATATAGATTTTGGAAATCCTTTATAGTTAAGCGGACTGGGGTAAGCTCCATTATTTATAATCATGTCATGAATTACTTCGTCTAATTGATCTGTAGTAACACCAGGCTAAGAATTAGAAGATTACTACTTAATATTGATAAAGCTGCATTATTTAATAAATTGACATGAGATTTACAGGGTCTCCTGCAACTGGTAATACAAGCGAGTAGGGAGTGATTCTACAAGAAAAATAAATTTTTAAAACTTGTAGAGTACGCATGCATTTGATTCAATTTCAGCTCGATGGATTTCACTATCTCACTTTCTGATATTTTGGAGAACATTTTTGTGCTTCTTATTATGTTTGCAATCAATGTCAATATGGTGATATTTCTTGTATCGGTTATAATCTTATGCTTGTTAAATAATTTTATTTCAAAAGTTGCAAGCTCAGTCAAGTGCATGGTACCAATTATAGGTCACCCTGTATTAAAGATATCATTTAGTATTCTTGCCTCGATATAATGTTTCGCTTGACTAAGAATATGCAGTGCAAGTTCACAACTTTCTTTCATACATTCTATTTGGTTTTTATCTTTAATTTCTGGTTTTATCGGACCTGGTTGTGGAATTCCAGTTAAATAATAAGCTGGCTTAGGAATATGTGATGGCACATATCTTCTTTGGGAAACAAGAAATGGCTCTACAACTTCGTATTTACCAAATGAATTATTTATAACTCTTGGTTTGAATTCTTCTCCCTTTGATAAATAATTATTCATTTGATCGAGACACATTTAATTTATATATTTGAAGAAAAAGATTATTTTGAAAAATACGTACGTGCGATTTGCGTCTAAAGAAATTGTTAATAAAATGTTTAAATAAATATTTCCTTATATTCATGTTAATACTTCTTATAATTGGTCGAAATATAAGAAATGCATGAATTTAAAAGTTATTCGTAACTGTTTATAATTTATTTCGTTTAAAATTCAACAATTAAAAACAACCAATTTTCAAATGTAAGAGGTTATATTTAGCAAATATTGTATTTAAATTAAGAAATAATGCAACTGTAGAATTTTCAAAAAATTGAAAATGTTTTTGTAGTTTAAAATGTTCTTTAGAATCTTTATATACGATGAAAGAAGTTTCATAGAGGTGACAAGTTTCGAAATGTTTATTTCAAATATTCTTGTCTAGTCCTGTGCAACACACTTCAAGCTTCATTCACTGACTATTCATTCGAACTGCCGTACATTAGACGGAAATTTTCAAAGTGTAGTCAAAAGTTAAAAATGTAATTTAATGTAATTTATATATTTATGATATAAATAAAAATATTACACACTTAATTGCTTAATATAAAAATGCAAAGTTGGTATCAAGAATATATGTATATATATGTATATTAATTAACTATTAGAATACTGAAGAATAGAGAAGAGTGTTAAGATCATTTTGGACTCGCTCTTTCTTATAACTCAAAGCGTTATAAGAAATTCAATTCATCATGAACGTGTGTATATATGTTATTATTGCTATAAAAACAATAAGAGTTCGATCAAGACTAATGACTTTAAAACAGTATATGATTAGTTGTACCGTGAGAGTCAACTAAGAGATATCTCATAATATTAAATTCTTTTCCAACATTATAAATGTCACTACTGTAAAACTACATCTCTCTCTCTCTCTCTCTCTCTTTCTCTCTCTCTCTCTCTCTCTGGAAATTTAATTAATATTAAATTTAAAGAAGTTTTACACTCTTTTCTTTAAACTAACTTTTGGCATTCACAGTAAAATTCGTTTAATTTTCTTGACAGTAAATGTTTTAAAAATAATCAACAAGCAATATGGTGGAAAAATCTGAAAAAAAACTAAAAGCTTACTTAATAATTGTATGTATAATAATATAATATGTAATAAATTTAAAAAGTTTGAGGTAATTCGTAGAATTCAATGTTAATCCATCTCCGATATATAAAAACTTTTAAATAAGTTATATATCCCGTCTTGATCTATATTATATTTGATTTTAAAAACAAAATATATTATATCACATTTCTTCTTATGATTATGAGCGTTTCTACGATGTTCTAACTTTACCGTGTTCATTATCTGTATAGAAAAAAATGCAAATTATTTTAATGTAAAATAGAAATGACTACAAAATAATTCTATTGTTTTAAAAATAGTGTTTTAAAAATCTTTACGCAAACAGCGTAATGAAAGTATTGAGGCCATAAATTATATAGCTTATTTTATATCAACTTCACAACGAGAAAATAATAAACAGATTAGATTAATTTTTAAAAAATTTACCTTTTACCAAACAAACTTCTGTGTCTACTCCTATTTGTTGTAAATATTGTAACCACAATGTTTGTTTCACTGAAAGTTTATCACGAGGTCCTTTCACCTCAATAATTTTGCACTACAAAAAGAATTAAAGTGACAAAGGTCCAATAAGCGTTAAAATAAAAATGTATGGCCGTGCAACTTACTCTTTTATCATTTGAATTCCACACGATTAAATCAGGAAAACCAGCTTTCCATAAAATATAATTAGAAATAAGTCGTTCACAAATTTTTAAAACACATTCAGTTCCTAAACAATATACTATTTCCTATAATCATAAAGTTCTATTAATTCATTTTAATCTACTTTGATAATGAAATTTATTAATTATGATATATATTGATCTATTACTTACTTTAATATTATTATTCGTGAACATATTAACATGCATCATAGATGTAAAACGACTGTACAATATAAAGTTATCTTCCACTAAACTGCTAAAAGATTCTCGATCAAAACTGCGTAACAAGTTGAGTTTATTATCAATTGCTACTTTTCTATTTTTGTAAAAATCCTTGGTAAATAAATCTAGGGGAGCTATTTGGTACAGTGACACGAAAGTTCCAGGTATGTCAATATTAAAAAGTTCTTCCCAAAATAATGCATAAAATAGAGTGACTGGTAGAGCACCTTCACAATGCACTCCACCATTAAAACCTTGATTATAATAAGAATTTAATACAACATTTTCCACCGAACTATACAATTTATTATCTGTACTATTATCGATGCACCATACACTTCTCCTCTTATTCATTCCAAATAGACTAGAAATAAATATACAATTATGAGTTTATTTTTAACATATTCGTTTTCTATGTATTTATTTAAATTAACTACAACTTACTCTTTCATTAAAGCAGCTTCAACTGTCGTTGAACATAACGTTGGACTTGGGAATTTGCTTTCTATAAATTGTATGGTTGTATTAATATCCATCAATGTAGTTTTACTAATGCCAGTTTTTCTTTTAACGAGTATTTTTGCTCTTTCTACAAGTACTGCAATGCCAACTTCAGATGTAGTCTCAATTTTCAATGACTGTAATATTATTTTTGCACTTGCTTCTAAATCTTTATTATGATGCATTTCAATTAATGCTAAGTCGGCATACCAGCTTTCTTTTTTTCTTTGCGCATAACAATTTTGATTTATTAATGTACTTAATATTTCTATGGCAAATGGTAACGTGTCTTTGTCTTTCTTAAATGAATCTATACTTTTAGATAATATTTTTAACCAGAAATAACCTGGTCTAAAAAGAAATAAATGCGAAGGAAGCACGCAGTCTTTTAAGCTGTAAAATGAAACAGAATTCTATTATTTATAATATATACATGCATAAACTGTATATTACATGCATAAACTTTGGTGCTACTTTATCAATATATATAGAGCATTTTCTTTAATATCTATAATTACCTTGCGCATTCGCTTTTCATAATAATTAGCCATCGATCGTAAGCTAACTTTCCAATTTTCCTTACACTTTCCCACTTCTTTTTTTCAATGGCATTTATTATATTAGTCATTTCGTGTTTTGCTTCGATATATCTATACAAGAATATATATAATTTTTATAAAAATGTTTAAATTTATATGAAGAATGAACTAATTATATGGCACTTACTGAATTAAATGGTTATTATCGCTAAAAATAGGATATCTTTTATCCGAATATATAGGATAACATATTTTCCCAAGTTCGATGTTCAATAACATATTAAATGTATCCGATAAAGTTTCTTCAGGTTTCTGATCAGGTTTGAATAATGTTAATATCTTGTCAAAAATATCTATTGTCTTTTGACTCAAACGTACACAATATCCCAACTTATTTGATACTAACATCTTTAATTTTTCACCTGTAGTTTTCATGCCAGGAAAGAGAGGCTTTTGGGCCGCTATTTCCAATAATTTCTCTATTGATTTCTTCTTATTATTACATTTTGTTAATTTAAAATTCTTACAAATTGCACCAACTTCATCGGCTTCAAGCATTGTTAAGGAAACAGATAAATCTTCGTTTTCTATATCAGAAATAAAAAATGACTTAAGCACG